AAGAACCCCGAACATCTACTTTCACATACCTAAAATTGCAACACCAAAGGGTGCAGGAGACACAGATACTGTGAATAAGGAAGTATAATATTCAAGTATATGAGGAAGTATCACAAATGGCCACAGAGAAATATATATATATTTATATCTATAATACTGTATCAAACAGATGGAAAGGGGGTGTGAAACTGGTAGTGTGGACACAGATCTAGCTGATAACTGACATTCTAACCAGACACGAGTCCATCCGAGTGCAAGTGCCTCATCCTTAAGAGAGCACTTCCGCACCACTTCCTCAACCGCAGCTCAAATGCTTCGAAGCTATTTTTTAATTAGTTAAATAATTTATTGAATTGACTTATACTCTGATATAATTATCCAGGTCCCAAATGTTAATAACTTAATTGAATCTTTCTTCCCATTTATACAAAATAACACTTAAAAAAAAAAAAACAACCTTATTTCTTACATGCTCTTCCCTTCCTGCCATCAGACTCCTTGATTTCTTTTGAACCGGCAATAAGTTACAATGTGAAGCTTTTATCGTTTCACCCACCCAGCAGTAGAATAATAGTGAGATGAGCAGCTTGGATGTTAACAAGGCCTTTCAGAATGTAGTGGATAGCCTTCAGGCACATGAAAGGTGAAAATGCAATTTTTCAAATAATAATACTCCATGCAAAACAGAGCAGAGCAAAAATAATCGCCCAATTGTACTTAGGTAAAGCCAGTGTCTTCCTGTTGCAAATGGAAATCAAGTCAATTTCTGCATATGCTATTCCTGTTTTTTAAATATAAAATTGTAACAATTACTAGAGTTTGGGAATGAGATTATATTTATTTTATGGTTTGTAAAGAATAAACATAACACCTGCTCAGAGCCCACTCCTGCCAAGAGCTCATGCCTAAATAGTATTACTTCAATGCTAAGTGAGAAATATTCACAAGCCCTGCTTAGCGAGTGCAGCAGTGACATCCTCGGCCAGGGTGGCGAGCTGAGGGGATTCGAGCAGGTTGATGCTTCCCGAGGAGGAGACGTTGCTGAGTCGCCTCGGGGACGCCACGCTGGATCTGCCTGGGGATTGCGTGATGATCTCAGCCCCGTGGTCCACACGGGCCTTAGCATGCTCTCTGAAGTTCAACTTCTGGCTGTCAATCTGTTTAAGACAAGCATCAGTCCTTGTTAATTCAAGCATCTTAACTAACCCCTAGATCTTTTTCTATATCCCAGAGCTAATGTGAATGTCACTTCTACTCAGCTCTGCCATCCCCACTTCCCATATGTTCAGGTCTTTAGTCTTGGACCCATGTTGATAAAAACAAACAAACAAACAAACAAAAGGCGAGAGCAATTATGACCTTGTTTCTTACCTTGACATTTCCACCTCCGGGTACATGGTGAGCATTGTCAAGCGAACCGACTTTAGCTTGGGCCTTTTCTTTGAAATCCAGTTTTACACTCTCAATTTTCACACGTCCACCACCTATGTGAGGAGAAAGGCTTTAAAATCCTTGCTGAAATGAAATCTATTAGTGGTGACTATTTCCCAAAAATGATTATAGTAGATATACCATTGTAAACCACAAGCTCAATTAGCTCTACTAGCCTCTGACCATAGATGTGAAAAAAAAATCTTTTAAAATTTCTAGTCCGTACCATTTTCCCCATGTCACCCAAGATAATGACATCTTTTTTGTACTATTATATGGATTGCTTTACATATTAATACCTTTCTCCTCTATCCACTGTAACATAAGATATCAGAGGGGCTTCTCTTATCTGTATATAAACAATCTGTGACTGCAGGTGCTGGCCTGTTTCCTTCATATCCTCAATAGATATTCCACATTCCACAGTAAACTGGTGAAAATCTTGCTGTTGTCAAGGATCATTGTGCTAACACTTCTTTATGAATTTAGTCATCTGATTCAGTTATTATAGAAGAGCTAGATTTAGGAATAGGTGGGAGTTCATGACAATAGTCTTTTATACCAGTAAATCTCTGCACAGAATATTTCCTTGTCTATGTAAAATTTTTCTGTGCATCAAGACCCCAGGTAAATTTGAATAATTGTATACTTACTGTCTGGAATTAAAGAACACAATATTTTCTTCTGTATTCTGGAAGAAAATAGGCAGTATGGCCAAAAACCTCAGTTATACTGTTGACAGGGAAGTACAAAGTCAGCTAAGTGTTTGTAGGCCTGAGTTATAGACAGGGGAATTATGAAGACAGGCAGAATGGGACCATGTCCCTGCTGCCTCATGAATGACAGAGAAGCTACAGCCAGGGTAGCAGTTCTGAAACTAGTAATAGAGACTCCATATAAGCAATTTTAATTCCTTGACTTGTTTTATGAATACCCCTTGCCAAAGCAAAGACATGTTTCTAAGGCATTTATCAATTTTAATGAATAAATGTTTTTCAACTAATAAATCTTTTTAATAATCTCCTGATCAGCAGTCTTACTGGGCTTAATTGCTCTTACACCTTGTTTCTGATAACATGTGAGACGATGAATGGGAATAGTCTAATACCTGGTTTAATTAAGATGATAAGCATAGATTATTAAAACCAATTGCTTCCTCATGTTATTTTATAATACAATGATATATAAAAATTGTATCAAAATTTCTCAAGAAAATTACAAATTTGATAGTTGTCCATTATTTACACATGAGTGGAGGTGGAGTTTAGCAAAAATACATGTAATATGTGCTACTCAGAAAAACAACTCAAAATATGTGTTAGAGTCACATTTGAAAGAGGGAAAAAATCCTTAGGAATTAAGAATATAAACTCTACCGTAGAGCACTAGTCCCATGACATATTCTAGAAAATCAAGAGGTCCATAGTCAAATACATTTGAGAAGCATTTATATTCTGCTGATAATTTATAGTTCTTATTGACCTACTAAAGGATCTGAGAAATTCAACAGTAAATAAAATTCTTCAGCTTTGCTTACCCACAATCCTTATTTCACTTAATGTAGAAAAACAATCTCATGAAAAATCGTTGGAAATGCTGCTTTAAGTCCATGTAATTATGTATGAATACATGGTCCAAAGCATTTTATAGACTACATATTTAGAAAGAGCTGCAGTAAGCATGTTGAGTACATAGAGATAAATGTATCCTGTAATTTTTAACCTGCCCTATGATATATGGCCTATTTTTGGTAATTGAGTTTACTTGTCCAAATGAAGATGCCCAAATTTCTAACTTAAGTTTCTCTATATAAAAGAATTAAGTATCAGGACATTGAAAAGTCCTTCCGATTGGGTATTTCACAACAACAAAACCTTTGCTTGTCAACTTCTTGAATCCAATACAGTGGGGCCTTGACTTACGAGTGTCCCGACTAACAAGTTTTTCGAGATACGAGCCATCTCTCGGCCGATTTTTTGCTTTGAGTTGCGAGCTAAAATTCGGGTTACGAGCCAGCTTCAGATACCCCACCGCTAGTTGGCGCAGCGAACGTCACAGTGAACGCCACAACATCAGCCCGGCATCACGTGTCATTGTAATGGTGAAAATTGATTTGACATACGAGTAATTTGAGTTACGAGCTCCGTCACGGAACGAATTAAACTCGTAAGTCAAGGCCCCACTGTATAATATTCCTCAAGCTACTAAAAGCATTTACTTACCTGGCCTGTGGCGGATGTTCTTCAGAGAGCCACATTTGGATGTCACATGGCTTAGATCTATCTTCTTAGTAACAATCTGTACCTGTGTGAATCACACAACAATGCTTAAAATAGTTTAGATTTGAACAAACCCCCTAAGTTCATACATCAAATCTAGAAACATGTACAAACTCACAACACACCACAACATATCCAGGAACCCAAACTGAAGTACATACACACATAGGGCAACATACTTTCCCACATGTCCTCCCACATGTTTGGTTGGAAAGAAGGACCCAAGTGGGAGAAAATCCTAAAACAGAAGATTGTATTAGTAGGAAACAGATCATGCCACAAAGGGGACAGAAACACCTGGATTAATAAGGCAAGAATGAAGCGACATCGTGTTAAACCTTTCCATAAGCAAAGAGCCAAGTGAGGAGGTACATTATTTTTTTCAAAAGTGATTTTTACATAGAAGTGAACAACATTGCTCAAAGATACAAGAAGAACAGTATTGCTTTAGGATACAGGAAGAAGAAAGCTGTAAACATACTTTTCTAAAACATTATGTCTTAGCTAAATGGAATTTTTCTTGCGCACCAGATTATTAATGAGAACAGCATTTTTTTTTCTTTTTGTGTTTTGTTGAAATTATTTCCTCTCGCAATATTTAGAATAGTGCTTTTCCAAGTGTGGCTCATGGTGCATTTGCATCAGAAGTATGTGGGGATTACTAAAATGGATGCTGTGGAAATGGGGCCAGGGACTCTGTGTGTTTGAATAAGCGATTCTTCTCTAGAGGAAATTTTAAGATTATTGTTTTGGAGGTTGGGAGCACACCTACTTATTTTAAGTTTATTAGTTATCTCAATTTATCCTTTTTTTATTTAGGTATTTTGGGTCTGTCTTCTGATCACTTCAAGTTATTTACTGGGACTGATACTGTTTCTGTGAAAGTAGCAGGTGGTGAGACTTACAGTTAGGCCAACAGGGAGGAAGGCAACCATGTCCATGTAAACAGTGACCCTGAGGCTTAGCCCAGAACTCTTGGAGAAGCCCAGCAAACCTTGCTATGGACTTCCCATGAGGGGAAATTTTTATGCTAAGTGGATCATCTTTGAACATCAGGTGACAGTTCCTGATAGAAGTCACTTGCTCATCTCTCACTGCTTGACTCCATCTCTGTCCAGTTGAGGAGCAAGGAGCCAAGAATCATTAGACAGGTGAGAATTCTGGTTTTTGTACTCTAAATTATTGGAGTGACAGATGGCCAGAACCTAAAGTTTACGTGCCAGGATCTGGCTTGAGTTTGCCTGTTTCAATTCTGCCTCAACTAAGTTTGAGAGACATGGATTCATCTTTCCTTTCCTCTCAGGATATTATGTCCACTCAATTTAAGAGACAGGAAAAATACCATTAAGACATGTATACCGGGACTTGAACCCTTTCACTTTGAATTAGAGATGACCCATACTTCACCAGTTTTGTCTTATTCAAGGGACTTCTAATTCTCATGAATGATTTAGCACAAAAGACTGACATCACACACCGGGTATTTTAAACTCTATCAGTCTTTGCCTCAAGAGTAATTTAAATGGAGCTAGAAAAGTGTGTGCCCAGGTGACTTTTGCAGGGGAACAGAGATAGCGTGAGGAAATGCCTTGGGGCCAAAGGCCAGCAAACAAAATTGGCAAGTGAAGTGGGTTTTCCATGCCCCTGAAAACCATAGTGCACTCCATTAAGGTTTTGTTTCTTCAAACGAAAGCAAGAAATGTGCTGGTGATCTTAAAGGGAAGGATGAGAAACCCACCACCAAAAGTGCAAGGCTGAGAAGCTCCCAGATCAAGGGGCCACGTGGTGCAGCAACAAGGCGGAGTGTGTTGGGGAGGAGGCAGGAAAGGAGACAGGGTGCTGGCTGTGCAGATGGCTCCACGCAATCAGGACAGCTTTCTAACAGAAGCTTCTACTTACATTTCCGCCCCCAGCAGAATGTTTGATGTTATCCTTGGAACCACATCTGGACTGAACCTTGCTAAAATCGATCTTCTTGTTTAAAATCCTAACCTAAAAGGAATTGGAGGTAACTTCATTGTGCATTTTTCTTTCAACAGGCTGGGTATAGGGAACCAGAATGGGTAGCGCCAAAGGGGCTCCAAACTCCCTTCCACCTACGTAATAATTTAAGAGAAAAGTGAACACTGGAACTAAGGAGCAGATCTATCATATAAGAATGAGCCTCTATTGTTCTGACTCCCAAGGGCCAAGTGCTCCAGAGCCTTCTGTGTCCCAGTTGTAGGCAGGTATAATATGGAAGCAATTAGAGGAAGAGAAAATGAAAACTTGGATCATCTGGGAGGAGGAGGCTTCCAGTACTGCGGGCAACAGTGAGGCTCAGGTTTACTCTATGAAGGTCCAATAGTATAGTTCAGCGTAGTTCAGCCCAGGATCCTGGAGGATACGCCAGGGCCCTGCCTGCCTCTCTTTAACCCTGACAGTGTCAGCCATCACCATTATAAATCATCTTGACTTAACTGGATTATTGGGTCCCATAGCACAGGGTCTAATGAATGCTACAGGTGAGGGTCCTCACTCATTCAGGGGAAGAACCCCTGGTTTCCTAAGAGGGTCAACAAGGCAGCTCTGGGCCTTCCCTGAAGGCGCGGCTCAGTGGCCTTTGAATGCCTCTCTGAAAGCTGCTCACAGGTAAACAGGCATTGCCCTTGGGTGGTAGGTGTGGAAGCATTCTCTCTATTTGCAGAAGGTAGAAAACCAAAAAACTTTAGTTAGCTGACTTATATGAGGTCATGCAGTCCAGGCCTTGGGTAGGTCCAACAGATTTGAGGTTAGGTGTTTTATTTCTATTTTCAGGAAGTTCAGTTTTATCTTGAAGACAATAGCAAATCCAGATCTGGAAAGATATTTCTCTGGCATAATATAATGTGCAAAGTTAAAACTCTTGTGACTTCTTTGATGTGTCTTTTGAATTCTGCATGTTGTAGAGGGCAGATAAGCAAAGTTAGCACAGAAAGAAAGGTTTATTTTTAATTGTTTGGTTGGTTGGTTTTTCTTTTTCTAAAGCTACTGTTCTTCCCTTCCCCTAATAGCTTAAGAGAAATCACATTTTCAATGCTTTATTGGACAGTTTATCCTCTTATTTTCTAAAAAAAAAAGCTAAATAAATTTATCTTAGATATACAGCTGTGTTACATCTAGTATTACATCTCTCAATCTTTTAAAAAAGGATAAAAAATTGCAAGAGGACATGAGTCCTGACTATTTTTAACAAGACAAAGCTTAAGTCGCAGCCCTGCCTAACGAACACTGACAAGATAGCTGTCCCTTATAGGGAAATATCATTGGCAACTCTCATTGACAGCCCAAGGGAAGGGCCTCTTGTCAAAGATCTGAATTCAGAAGATGTGATGATTGGGCCACACTTTAGGGCATGATAAAAATTCCAGTTTCATAAAAGGGGGTATATCAAACAGTCTATATCTAACAATAAGTGTAGTTGTAAGCTCAGAATTTCATATAAACAATGATACATATACCTTTGAGTCAATAAAGACCATTACATTTCAAACCACAAAAATGTATTTTAGAAAGGAAATAATTTATTATGCTTAATAATCCTTTTAATTTTTATCCATGAAGATCTAATTATTTGGCAATGAAATAGAATTCACCTAAGCCAGTTTTTTCTCTCATCCTTAGGAATATAGAAGGTCTCATATTGCATTAACAAACTTTAAATTAGAAATCATTAGAGTACCAATCAAGACACTCATTACAAAGTGATCACAAGCCAAATGTTAACTCTAATTAACTTGCTGCAAAAATGGAAATTCTAAATTCGGCTGCAAGAATCTGACTCTAACATTTCATCAACTTTTTGACAATTTTTCTGATTGCCAAAACAAGTTATTCAAACCCAATGGCATCACACACATTGCTAGCATTATTTAGAGATGATTTAAATCTTAAAACTTAAATGTCGACTTCTGCTGATTTTTTCTGGTTTTCTAGTCACAGATTTTCTACTGAAACACTAGCTGATTCTTTTCCATGGTAGACTTTCTTAACCTATGTCAGTTCAATCTATAATGGGAAGCCGACCTTTGACATGCGTTAATGGCACATTCTTTACATATTTCCATATTTGCAATAGCTTCATAGTATATTGCTTTTGTCTAAAATGAGGCCAAGTATGACATGTGCCATCTTGCTTGATGACTAAGTAGACAAAACAAAACCCCTTGCTCAGTGTGATTTATCCTCTAGCTCGACAACTTGCACCTGATCACCCACCTTGTCTGTGTGACTCACATTTATGCCTTAGAAAATTTACAAAATACTTCATGCCAAAGATCTCTAAGATCATTTGCATTAATTAACACTTAGAGAGCTAATTCCACAAATACCAGCACTTGCCACAAACCTTTCCATAAAATAGAAAAATAGAAGGCTTCTGTGAAGGATAAAGTTTTGGCAATGAAATAGAATTACCCTTCTAGATTAGTTGTGTGTGTGTGTGTGTGTTTAAATGAGAGAGTTGAGTTTTAACTCTGTTCTATGGAAAGATCTAAATCAAATTTCTTTCTTTGAGAAGAATTTTCGTTGAACTTTTGTTTTCCTAAAGCATATGTCAACAGAAAATTATTTTAATATTTTAGAGACTGTCTAAAAAATATAAATAAAAAACTTCTATTTGGCAAATTAACTAATTTTCTATATTCAGCATATGGAAGAAAAATATTTGAATAATCATTACCCAAATGAACTCTATAACACATTTTAACTTTTATTATTTTCTTTTATTAAAAGTTTTACTTGAACTATTAACGCAAAATGGGGTGATCTGAAAGAGAGGCAATTTTTTCTTCTGCATACTTCTCAGTGGAAGTGAAATCAACTGGATCATCTTCCTAAAGCTCTGCCTTATTCAAAATTCTCACCTACTCCCTATTTCCAATTAAATGCATCAACGTTTCTTAGCCAGGAAGCCAGGGTTCGCAGCAAATCTGATTTTTGAGGCCTCGCTTAATACTTTACATTTGGGGCCAGACTGTGTTTATACTTTCAAGTTCATCCCCATGCTTTCTTCATGTTATTATCTCTTGCTAGTAGAACCTGTAACAGATCATCTTTCAAGGTTCAGCCCAATCCGTCCAGCCACAGCAGGAGACTGGCAAAAAGGGATTTCAATATCCTAGGAAAATATCTGTGACTTAGTTGCACACATAGTTGACAAATTACTATCATATTCTGAGGCAAACCATAGATATGAGATCTAAAAGTGACCTTTAATAAATAGTCTATTTATTATTTATTTTTGTTAATCCTCACTCGAAGATATTTTTCCATGGATTTTCAGGGAGAGTGGAAGAGAGAGAGAAAGACAGAGGGAAACAGCACTGCGAGAGAAACACATGGGCTGGTTGCCTTCTTCTGCACGGGCCCCGACCAGGGCTCCGGCTGGGGAGGAGCCTGCAGCCAAGGTATGTGTCCTTGACTGGAACTGAACCCGAGACCCTTTGGTCCACAGGCTGATGCTCTATCCACTGAGCCAAACCAACGAGGGTATAGTTTATTTAAATGAGATGGTGCTATATACAAAAACAGGTATTATTTTGTTGCTTCTATTCTACAAATTAAGAAATCTGAGGATGTAAGAGGTCAGTATCTAAGGTCATGCAAAATTTAATAGAAAAGGGGACCAAGAACTCAGCTCTTACATCCTGGTCCAATATTCTTTAAGACAATATTCACTGTGGTCTAAACAGGGGAAGTTTCTTTGGGTAACAATTGTAATGGCATTAGGCATTCACACCTATTCAACAGTCACTAGAAAGAATGCATCTCACCATGCATATAAAATACTACATTCATTCTACTTTCAACAAATATTTTATTGAGCGTCTACTGAATACTGAGAACAAAATGGACCTCATCCCTAATTTTATAGAGCTTATGGTCGAGTAAATTAGACAAGATCGGCATTAAATAACCATACAATGGAATGCTTAATTACAAATGTGGTGAGAAGGACTGGCTATAGTATTGGGTGTATATTAAGATAAAAGAAAAGATGAAGGGAGACCATTTAACAACTACTATAGTGACATCAACAAGAGATAACGTAACCTGTGCTATAGTGGTGTACAATGTAGTAAGAGCTATGTGGGGCATCAAATCATTAGATCTTCAAGATGGCCAGGATATGGGATGAGGAAAAGGGAGATGGAAAGATGACTCAGATTTTTGATTTGGCAAGAGTCCTACTTTTTGAATAAGTGTCATAATATTAAAAATAATAACTCAATGTGAACTTTCCTTGCTGTTCCTAGAACCTGCAAGGCCTGCTTCTACCGCAGGGCCTTTGCGTGTGTAGTTTCTTCTGCCTGAAATACTCTTCCCCAGTTACTCATATGGCTGATTCCTTCACTTTCTTGAAGTCTTTATTCATGTGGGTAATGGGAGAACTTCTGTTTCTTATTTTGTGGAAATATGAAAGACTATAAGAAGCTGAATATCTTCGATATTTAATGTTCCTTAATTAGTTTCTAAGAAAAATTAGACTGTTTTATTTCTAGAATGTAAAGATATTTCTTAGGTTCTAGTATAATGGATTTATCTAAATAAACATTTAAAAAAGATGCTAGGGTAACACCGACAGTGAAAGTAATAGGCTGAAAAATTCTACAAGAGTTTTTAAGTCAAAGATGAGTACGGTTGAACAGGAATTTCTTGCTTGGAGATGCCTCCATCTTTAGCCCAGCTGACCTGAAAATGACTGACTGCTCCATGCATGAAGTATATAATTCACAAGGCAGTCCATCAAATCCACAGAAATGGCCTTGCAGAAGTCATGATACACCTAAGTTCTCTATCCAATAATCTGTAAATTATGGCCTTGTGAAACTAACCTCATTAGTAACTTTCAACTATCATAAGGGTAAAAAAAATATGCAGTGTATACTAATCTTCATAAGACTGATAAAAACAAGAAACCTGTCAAAACACTGATGCATATTTCACATAAATAAATGTGCCTATAGAAATAGATAGAAAAGGTATAAAGTGCCATTCATTGAGTTGTTGCCTAAATGTTTTTATGCCATGCATTTAGAGAAATTATTTTTCCTAACTTTGTTTAATCAAGTAACTGTGTTTTTATTTTTATTTATTTATTTATTTATTTTACGGGAATCGAACCTGGGACCCTTCAGTCCCCAGGCCAACGCTCTATCCAGTGAGCCAAACCGGTTAGGGCAAGTAACTGTGTTTTTAAAAAGTAATGTTATTTATTCTAAAATTTAGATTTACTGTAGATTAGGGAGCTAACTACATTTAGATAGTTTCAAATCAATGCACTTAATAAGATAGTTTTACCTTTGTCTTAAGTTAAATTAGCCAAGATCACTGTCTACACTGAATCCAGGATTGTATGTATTCTTTCCAATAGAGTGAGTTTGTTTCAGCTAAAAAAGATGAACTTTATTGCTTCTATCAGTCTCCTCATATCTTCAGCTAGGTTATCTATGACATTAGGCATTGATTTGTCTCACTGAACTAAGCCATTGAGCAGAACAGCCTCTTGCCAATAAAAGACAGGACTTTCAAAGGAAAGATGATGGCTAAGAGCACAAAACCCATACATCTAGAAGAGCAAAAAATGTACAAATTGGGGCAAATAATAAGGCTTCTCAACTTGAAAAGTTGTTGAATTCCCAAGACAATTAATCTTAAATAGGGTTCTAGTACAATTGTATTCATCAAAACCATATAGACTGTCTATTTATTATCAACATGAATATTCGTCCTTTGCAATGTTCGGGCAACCTCAGCCAGAGAAGAAACTTGGTAAAGCATGCTCTGATTTGGAGTGAACATGAGGAAATGGTAGAAGACGTCATAGGAAAACCTTGGGGAAGAAGGAAGGAGGTGAAAGTGGAATCACTAAAATATAGTCAGATGAGCTCACAGGCAGGATCTAAAATAGAATGCTGTCAACTTATATCAGAAATGCAATTTTAATCTCTTAAGTTAAAATCCATAAGGCAATAGAGATACATTTAGAAAAGATCTGTTAGGCAAACAAATAAAAGTTTCTCTTACGTGGTCACAACAATTTTTATCCAATAGCAACCATATTTATTAATAGAAATAAATATGTCCGGTGATTTTCATTATATTTTATAAGCTAGCTTTCTCAGATTAAGTTCCAAACTCTTGGCCATAAATCAAACCAGTAACTCCATCTCCCTTTTTCTGTAAGAACTGTTAGCTTATATTATGAGGAAGGCATCATAATAATTAGTGGATTTTATACCTGGCAGCAAATACGTATTCATATGGTTCTTACCTGCCCCCCTTTAGGCTGGTATTTGATGTTGTCTGTTGATCCTATTTTAGACTTGACATTCTTCAGGTCTGGCAGTGGTTGGTTAATAAGCCGAAGCTGCTTAGGAGTAGCAGGAGACTTCGGAGGAGTACGGATGATGGCAACTTTCTTCTCACTGGGAACCAAGATGGCAGATTTGGGGGTTCCTGGTGTGTGAGGGGTCCTGGGGTAGCTAGGGGTTCCAGGAGTGCCTGGGGTGCGTGAAGAGTAGCTTGGTGGGGTGCCAGGTGTGATGGCGGTTGATCCAGGGGTGGTGGGTGTTGAAGTGCCACTTTTTCCTGCTCTGCGAATCGGCTCTGACCCTATTTGAACAAATAAAAAGCAAAACCAAAAATTCAGCATTAAAAAGCTCTCCTCAACGTATCCTTCTTCTCACAAACATTTATAATGCATTAAGTTTCTGAAGTATTTAGAGTATCTATGAATCACAATGCTAAAAAATGTAAGCCTCCTCTTTTACGGTCATTACCTGGTACATTTTTTTGAACATGCATTGCTGTCAATGCAAGAATAAAACTTGAGTTTTGCTGATTTTTCTTAATTCTATTATGAATGTGTCAAAAACGGTTTTTTACCTGGGTAATCATTAAGGCATATGGATCTGCCATTAGTTGCAAAAAGTGTCTGCCCTTAATCTTATGTGAGTTCGTATTTACTGAAGTTCCCTCAAATGGTATGAAGACCATTGCTCTGTGCAGTAACTTCATTCTGATAACTAGGTGGACATTCAATGTTAAACTGTGACTTAAATCACATACTTTTGGACTATGTAGAAAATTATTGGATTACGTTTCAATGGTATCCCCTCATCTTATATTGAAAAGCACTGTGAGTTGCAAATGTGTTTATTGAAAGTCATTCAATGATGTCAGACATTGTCTACAATACCATGTATTTTCTTTATAAGGAAAGTTGTCTTAGTTCTTAATACCAAAAAAAAAGTCCACTTATCTCCTTAGAAAACTAGGATGTTTTTAACATTATATTCACAGTAAATCTTGTTTCTGATTGTGTTTTCTCCTCTACCCTCATTACTAGTTTGGTAATTTGAAGGCAAATCAATAATCTCTCATGGCCAATTATTCAGGATATTGCAAGATACAATTTTTTTGGCCTCAATTTGACTTTAGCCTCACTTTATCATCTGACTCCTTTCCCCCATTTCTTATACTATGTTTGCCTCATATTATCTTTTAAAATGTATTTTGAATGACATTTCAAACCTTTTTTTTGAAAGAATGATATAAATAAAAGTATACCTTACAAATTTCAAAACACTTTTGTGACTACCAAAATACCAACCAACCAACCAAACAACTAAACAAACAAAAACAAAATACAAAAAATATAATAGCTAAAGGGACCTCTTATTATCCCTAATTTAAAAATGAGGACATTGAGGCTCATTTACCCAGACAATATTAAATTCTAGCTTCTTAATATTTTTTAAGTTTTTCTTTTTAAATATACTTTTTATTGATTTTAGAGAAGAAGGGAGAAGGAGAGACAAAAACATCAACGATGAGAGAGAATCACTGATCCACTGTTTCCTGCAGGCCCCCTACTGGGGATAGAGCCCACAACCCAGGCATGTGCCCTGCCTGGGAATTGAACCAAGATCTCCTCATAGGTCGTCGCTCAACCACTGTGCAACACCGCCTGGGCTGTTATCTTTTTCTTAACATAAAAATCTTTTCTCTTAGAATAATACATTGATTTCATTTATAGACCACTTAATTACATTATTTACATTGATTATACAAACTCTTTTGTTGTATTTTAAGGACATGATTTTTATTTTTTTTACTGAGTATGTGGTACTTTATAAAAATCAACGAATCTTCCAGAAATCCTGTAGAGAGGATAAAGATATGACTCATTAAGTTTAAAACCAATGAAGTGAAGAGGACATAGAGTCATCTAATGTCATTGACCACTGTTGTAGGAAGTTCTTCCTGAGAAGGGGGACAATTAATATCTGCTTAAATATTTACAAGTAGTGAGGTCCACAGAGCTTCTAAGACAATTGTCATGTATAGGCAACATAGAGCTACTCATTGGTCTAGGTTTAATTTCCTGGAGAAACAGAATAATTTTTATTTCCTGTTTCAGTGAACAGTTTTCACATATTAATTGAAAGTTGCCCTATGTCCTTTTGGTTTTGTAACATAAGGGCAAAACAGGTAAACTCTTCAACTAACAATATGAAATGAGATATGAAGAGACTGAAGTGATAAATTAGTGTGCATTCTGTGATTTTTATTGCTTTCAACAAAATCGTATTTTGAGACCAGGATGATGCAACCACACCCAACTTGCCTGTAGCTTCTTTTCCACGAAGCTTGTTTCTGAACAAGTTTTGGATGCAGACTTGAATCAATCACTATGTCCTTCTGCAGAACCGTATTTCTGCCTCAAATGTTTTCTCTATGACTTCCTCACCTCCGAATAACTCAGGTCTTTGAGGGAGAGGGATCTTCTCTGTACTACTTGTCACTGTACCCAGTGGGATCTGAACACAGGAGGTATACAATATGTTTTCTTTTTAAAATAGTACGAATTGGATTCAGAATTGATCCACGTTTGCTGAGGTGTTTGTTTTTATTTGTTTGACTTTATAGAGATTAAGCTGATGTAATATTTTGGATGTGAATAACAATTTTTACTAAAGATATTTTTTAAAATAAGAGTCATTGCTATGCTATTAGAAAAAGGCTTTAAGCTTTCGAAAACTAAAGAATAAAGGTTTTGAGTTACATCTGGAGAATGAGGGGGGAAATCACTAATATTATGCCATTAACACTGATGTTCAATAGATATAATCATTTTTATTGCAATAAGTGATGATCTAGTTGTCAAAATGACACATTTGAGTGTTTCTTATATGTTCTGAAATTTAAAAAGGTTAAATTTAAGATACAAAAACAACTAAAAAGGGGTGGGAGGGGGTGAGAGAGGTCAGTGGGGGGAAAAGGGGACATATGTAGTACCTTCAACAATAAAGATTAAAAAATTTAAAATATTTACAAGTTACTTTATTAAATGGCACCCCCATTTATCTTGTCAGCTCCTCAATGACAATGTCTTTTCCTCCTTTGGGGCTAAATGAACTGCCGGTATAGCATTGTTCCTTTCAAATCTTTTCAATAGCTGTACCAACTGCCAGAATATTCTTGTGTGCAGTTAAAAAGATGACAGGCAAATCACACTCTTCTAATTGTCTCTGTGCCTTTTAGCTATTGTTGTGTGGAGATGAAACAAACCCGTTCCTTAGAGTATCAGTTATGTTCATTATCCAATAATACAATGCAACATGCTTATGTAAGTAAAGTTAGAAAATCAAAATAGATTGACTCAGAACAAAAAAGCAATTTATATGCAGATACATTTTAAAGGGCAGAGCACAGTGGCTTGAAGTTGTAGATTTATGGAGGAAGTACCATTTGTTTCCATAGCAACGAATAGAAGCATGATTCATGGTATACATTTGGGGAGTACTTGATACATTTGTCTTGTCTTAACACCCCCAGGGTTGTGCCCAATTCCAACTCCAGATATCTGAGCTAAAGTCTTATCTCTGGAGATGACTAACTCTTAAATGCATTCTTTCCAATTTCATTTGAACACTTTATTTTTGCTAAGGAAACAAGAGTTTTAATGCTTTCAAAGTTTTCCTAGCACACATTTCAAAGGATGTTAATACTTCATGAAGCTAAATGATGTAGAGCACAATTGCTCTAATATAACAAACATTTTCATTGTAGACAAAAGCACTGTTTAAATGTCATGGTTACATTTCAAGTGGGCTAATTACTAAAAATTTAATAGAAAGTAAGTGGTGAAGTCAACTATAATGTGATAGCAGTGGCAATTTCCACCATTTTGTAATAGATCTTAATGACAGATACTATTTTTTCAAACGTTTCCACCATTTTGTAATGATTTTTAAGTTACAGAGATACTGTACGATTTTCCAAGGGATTCTATAGAGCAATTCTCTGGAACTATTTTTTCCAAATAAATATAGAGAAGACTTTATGAGGACAGGTTGTGAAATGATCAGTGGCTGACAGCCAAATTCAACCACTTACTAGCTGTACAGCACTGGACAAGTTACACTTTCTAAAAGGTCAGTTTTCTCATTAGAAGATTTAGTGAGGTTATTAATACCTAACCATTAGCTTTGTTAATTAAATTGCGTGGAAAATGTGTCTTAAGACTTTAGCATCTCCATGTCTCAATAAATGGTAGCTATTTTTGGTGTAATAGAAACATATTTGTGAAGGTAATTTGAACCCAGGCTTTACTGGATAGTCTCGGTAGCAACACAACGTATAAGTAGGTAATGAATGATTAGAACATTTTTATAGCCTTTACATACACGGCGATAACTACCAACCAGTTCATGATGGGCCATCAGTCTAAAGAAACTGAAGCTCTGACACAGAACATCCTCTGGTAACAGCCTGATTGGAAGGCAAATTCTTAACAAATTGAGCAGGATCCTAGGTTTTGATTGTTGACTTTCCAGTTAGATTTTAAGGCTTAAGTTTCTATAGCTATATATTTTCTAAACACCTGACTACAGGTTTTCTTAATTACTTCTTTCACATTTATTTTTACTCTAAATGTGAAAGAAGAGGGAAATGTATTCTGAGAAAAACAACTTTGTCCCAATCCCATTTGATGAATAACAAAGCAGTATGCACTCATTTCCTCCATGAATCCTTTTGATTCAAACAGCTCTTAGGACCCCTCCACAGTCTAAATTTCCCGATCCTCAGGACAAATGCAATCTGATTTTAAAGCACTTTGTGACAAAGGTAAGGCATACATGCGTAAGTTCTGCTCTACTTATGGGATTTTAGAAACACGATTAGAAAGGAAGACAAACCAAAAGAACCTACTAGTGGTCCGCCGCGCCGAAGAGGAGAAGGAACTGTTGAGAGAGAAGGAGTTCTCCTCTCTGTCTCCCGACACAGCTCTCCGAGGGGGGAGGATGGAGGAGGGTCTCGGCAGAGATGAGCGCTTTTCTGGGCTCTTGGTTACTCCATCCTGATGGCGGGGAGGGGGGAGGGGATTGTGAACCCTTATTTTTAATTACACAAGGTGGTTACATCGCTCTGGCTATTTTCCCTCCTGTGCTGATAGATGAATTTCTTTAATGCACACTACTGAATTTCACAGGCTTATAAGCATTTCTACTTCAACACTTAGAATTCATATTTGCCTAGAGGTTTTTTAAAAATGGATTACTTTGGATTTAGTGTTAATAATTGATCAGGAAGCTCCAATCCTAATTGATAATATAGGCAAAAATGAATCTACTCAAGTAATTTTAGTGAATTAATAATTTTACTGAAAAATCTACATTAGCGTGATAATTTATTAATCAGAAAGGATGGCAGTAGGGCATTGCATGCATAATATTCCTAATAATGACCCTTGCATACATTGTGCACTCATGTCATAGGAACTGGAAGCACTTTATATCCACTTATGATTTAATTCTCAGCACAAAAATCATATGCATTTTATAGCCAAGGAGACAGGTTTAATCAGTTTATATAATTTTTTCAAGTTGGTAGGTAACAGAGGTTAGTATTAAATCCTGATGTGTCTGATGCCAAATCCAAACTCTCTACTGTATTGTATGTATGTATGTATATATATAAACGCCTAAGCGACCATCCGACCATTCAACTGTTCAACCGGTAGCCATGATGCGCACTGACCACCACTGTGCAGACACTCAATGCACAGGCATGGAAACATAGATCAGACTGATGAATCTTAGAGGGAAGAGGGGAGGGGGGAGCGCAGGAAGAGATTAACCAAAAATCTTATATGTATACTAAGGCCTGATGCATGGATTCATGTACCAGTGGGGTCCCGCGGCCTGGCCTGTGGGGATCGGGCTGAAACCATGCACCAGACCTCCAACATCCCCTGAGGGGTCCTGAATTGCAAGAGGGTGCATGCCAGGCTGAGGGACCCTACCGGCCTCTAGTATATAATATAATTTGGTATTATTAGATTATGCAATATATATATTAGATTGTGTGTGTGTGTGTGTGTATGAAATTTTATTAAATTTCAAATAAATAATAAATTAATAATGGGTGCTATACCTAGAAAAAGACATTTTCTAGTTTTTTAATGGTTAGACTATTCATAGCTGCTCAAGCTTTTAATTTGTATTTGTTTTTCATAAAGGTTTATTATTTACATTTCACCGCAGGCATAATTGAAAGTGTCTGCTTTCATTCATTTATGAATCCTGTCCTCTTCCCAAATTACATTGCTTTCTGCGCCTTTGACTGACCTGCTGCCTCACCTTGTTCCCTGACTCTGAGCATGGCAAACGGTCCGTGGAGCCCGCTGGGGAGGGCTGTATTACAAAACCGTCAGAAAACGTAGTCCTTTTAGTTGGACTAGGGCAGGCTGAGCTGCATCTTGGGGACTTTGTGTTACCCTGTAAGGCAGGAATCTTTGACAAGGTGGAATTCTAGCCATGAAAGAAAACAAACAAAAAAAAAGCACAAAATAAACCAAACTATGAAATAAAAGGAAAATTTAAAAATGTATAAACATATAAAAAATTAAATGTATATTTTTAATAAGAACACATGATAAATGGTTATAAATGATGACAAAGATGTATATTTATATGAGAATGAGAGATTTTCATTGAACACCTCTTTTAAACTTAGGAATACTCACATATGAGAATACAGATTAAAGTATTATTTATGCATTCTATGTATAAAGTCTCTGATTAATCCATAGATCTTACATGATACTATCTTAGATGATACTATCTTGTGAGTTTGTTGGAATTGTTTCTTTGATAAACATAGCTCTTAAGATGTATATATAACTAATATTGTGGTCACATTTCAAGAACTTTAGAACAAGGTATAAGCCCGGCCGGTGTGGCTCAGTGGTTGAGCATCGACCTATGAACCAGGAGTTCAAGGTTTGATTCTCGGTCAGGGCACATGCCTGGGTTGCAGGCTCGATCCCCAGAGGGTTGTATGCAGGAGGCAGCCAATCAATGATTCTCTCTCATCGTTGATGTTTCTATCTCTCTCCCTCTCCCTTCCTCTCTGAAATTAAAAAAAAAAAAACAAAAAACAAAAACAATTAGGTATATTTAAAATTTAGTAATTAAAAATTTTTAAGTTGAGATGATTTAGTTTTTAGATTATATACATTGATTTCATCAGAAAACTGCAGAGTTTATATATGAGTTTATTTTATGAGTAAAATGCAAACTGGGGATTAAGTTATGTCATACAATTCATAACATTTTTACTCATGGGCCACAGTTTGTATGATGTGTTACAAATTCCAAAAATGAAAGTCAGCACTGAAGAGACTGCCCATAAAAATCCAAGACTGAATTTGTAGGTGTTGATAACCCAGGGGGAGATTGTGGGCAAGTTTAAGTAAGTGGGTTGGATGCCAATGGTTTTGAAAGTAAGCTATGCTGGCATGCCCAGTGTCTCTTGGGAAACTCTATTAAATATGCAGACAAGTACGACAAAGCCAAGGATATTTTATCTTCAAATAATATGATTTAGTTGTTTAAAAATAGCACTTGAAACTGAGATTTTTTTTTTTTATCTCAAGTTTCTGTAGCCACTTTAACAGGCAGAGCTTGTCACTGGTTGCACAATTCACTTCCCGTTTTACAGAGCCAGCACCTTGTCTGGGAAGTGTTAACAGGGTCGGCAGAAGTCATTTTTAATTTTTATTGATGCTACCCAACAAAATAGTGAATTTCAAAAGTGTGAATATAGGAAAGAAAACTGAGTGACTGAATTGCCACAAATTATAAAAGAAAACTATTAATTTGATGCTAAAAACAAAATAAAATGAACAAACAAAAAATCAAAATGAAATGAAGGTTTAAGGTCAGGTTCACAATAAAGGTCAATTGAAAAATTGGAGATAACTGTTCTGACAGGTGTATTGAATATGAGAGAAAAATAAAAGTTTATCTTAGGGTTTTAGGGAACAGAAAAAAATGAGGTTACAAGGAAGGAAAAAGAGGGATGTTAAATGAAAAACAGCTGGAAAGAATGGTGGTCTAATTTTCCTCAGAAAAATGAGATGGGTATTTACAAAGGAAAAAGGTTCATTTTTGTGTCAGAAGATGTGTATGGTTTCTGTCTTACGTGTAAGCATCGAATGTCAATTCCTGTTGAATTATTTAAAGGCAAAGGCACTTTAAGAAAATTTCCTAAACATTTTTCAAACAATGTACATGGGAACATTCTTTCCCTAAAGGGGGAAAGCTCAAATTTACTTTCCGTATCTGCTGCCAAAGATTTCCACCTTTCAAATAATAATAACAACAACAATAATAGCAACTATCACTGTTAAATACTATGTTCTAGGCACTATTTTATAAAATTACTATATTTAATATTTACAGTTAATTTATGATATAGGAATTTTTACTCCTTCCATTATTTTTGGAAATGAAGACACAGGAAGAAAAGGTAATATAGTTAATATTGGACCTGGTCTGTTCTAGCCCTGCTCTGAAACACCACAACTGACTAGTTGCTCATCAGAAACAGAAAGTGAAGATATGCAAATCTTAAAATCACAGTGTTTTTAAAATAAACACTAATATTTACCAAAGCAATAAATGGATTATATTGCTTGCCATATGTTCAAGACTATAAACATATATATAAAAATTAAATAAATAAATATATATATCTATTTATGTTTTTATCAACATAAAGCTCCTTGTGTTCAGGATTATATAAAAGTCTGGCTGTTATTAAAAAATGAATTCCTATTTTTCACAATAAATAAAAAGTGGAAGTCTAAAATCTTACTTGTTTTTAAAAAGCTAAACAAAGAATTGTGATTCATGTATCATACATGTTGGCTGAGAACACTGTGATATGTTACTAATTAACATAATTCAAATGATCTGTTGTAATTTTAGGATTTTATTAGTACTCTTTACAATTTTTCTTTCAATAAGAAAAGTCATGTTGACTTCGGTCTTTTGAAAGTTTTAAAAATATGGTTAATAATATAAAAATAAAGTTCATAAAATAAAAACTAAAAAAGATTTTTTAAACATATAAAGAAGTTAAATATCATCAATACAACCAAATTAGAACAATAAGATATTTCATCTTCATAACTTGAGAAATATAGAAAAAGTATAGGAATAACTAGTAACCATGGTGAACATGGGCACTTTTATATACAGCTGGACACAAAAGTCAGTAGAATCTTAATGGAGGACACTCTGATAATCTCCATCAAAAACTTTATATATGGACCTTCTTCTTGAAACAATAATTTCACCACAGGGAATGCACAGGGATGCATTTATAGGATTGAGCAAAAAATGATTTCTGCATAGTAATATTGCTAAAAATTAACAAAAATATAGTTTGAATAGTAGGGAGTTGATTAAGTTTATACTATGAATAAATAAAATGTAATGTGATATAGTCATTAAGATAATATATAAGAATGTTCAGTGACATGGAATTCTGTTTAATTAAACAACTGATACACTGTGCTTTTGTTATTAAACCTACAAATGTGTAGAAAAAAACAAAGATTTTACATCAAAATGGTAACTGTAGTTGTCTTTAGATAAAGGGGTTAATATATTTTTACTAACTTTTGTTCATCTACATGCTTAATTTGCTCAGATTCTTATTTGGTAGACATAATAAATATGTATTATAAAATTTAATTTTGTGTTGATTATAATGGTTTATCTTGAATCTATAAAAAATAAATAATTGGGCTCCCTCCTTTTTACCAGATCATTGTGCTGTTTCATATGTTTTGTCTTCCTAATAAAGAGCAGCCTTCACCAACGACAAGTCATCCCAGAAGACATTAAGACATGCCCGAATGCCACCCAGAATCATTCTGATTTACAATGACAGCTAAGAGTAAACAGCTAAAGTCTAAATGACATTTAAAGTTAGTAAAACACTGCCACTAATACCAAGAGGAGCTTCAAGTGGAGAACAGGGAAAAAGTTATTTTACTCACAGAGACTTTGTCCTTTGCGTGTTTAAACACACTGGGAACCTGATAGGATTCACCACCGGCTGCTGTGGGAGAGAGAAGACACAGATAACCCCAAACTTAATGGCTGACCACCACACACATGCTTTTCTCAATACACTGTGGATATTCAGTTGTGTCAATGGCCTAATGCAAAGCAAAATTTTGCTTATTTTGAGACTCAAATTCAGTAACCTAAAGAAACCTGAATAATAACAACACTCCACTATACAGTGTGCTCATTAATATAGCCCAGGGTTTACCAACGCACAGGTAAGCACACCAAATAATTTTCTACTGGTTGCCAATGTTATCTTTAAATTACGACTACATGAGGATAGATCCTTTAGAACGGGAGTCACAGAATAGCAATCTGAAGGCTATGGAATTTAAGGAAAAGGGGACTGGCTGGTTTCTCCAGGTGGCATGATATAAAAAAGGAGAGCTCATGACGATTCCCAAACCCTCTTTTTGTAGCCATTGGCATACCTACAGGTACTTCTGCCTTTCATATTCCAAACTCTCTTGGTCCAGCCAACCCCTTTCCCTCTGCACCCTTTCATCTCACAATACAAATGACACACTTGATCGATGTGAAACATATCACATGAGCAGAGAAGGGAAGAAAAAGAGGTTGTCAAAGAGTAAACATGAGAGAGCTTCGACTTCGGTAATACAGCACATGCCCTACACATGAACTTACTGATGAAGTCATTACCACATCTGTTACTGCTGTTTTTCTTGCTACTCGTTTATACTTCTGGTGTCAATTTGAAACTCCATTCTCTCCAGCATATTTTCTGTCCATGACTTACCTGACTTGACTTTAAATATCTCTCATGACTGAAAACAATCCTTTGTGTTTTGGAAAACGATCTGCATTTAAAAGTTGTGCTTAAAATTAAAGACGCAAGCTTGCGTATTTACTTCCTCCTTAATTTTCTTGCATAAAAGAGAAATCCCCAGTGGGGGGCGGAGGAATACTTATCCTTATAAGCATTTCCAACGAGTTTCAGAAAGTTTCTTATGCCATCTGCAGCGCTAACACAAAAATAATAACTGTCTACAATATGCTACATGCTATTTAGGATTGGCTAGTAAGATTATTCACAGATTCTGGAACTGATATATATATATATATATTTTAGGAAGAAGCTGTAGAAATGATGTATCCTTACTATTTCTATTTTTTTCGAATTTCTGTACATTGAGTTTGCTACAAGCCAATGTCACCCTGTTTGCTGTATGCTTTCTGCTTGAGTATTAACCTCTGAATAGACTAAGGAAGATCCTAATTAGTACACAGATCTTGAATAGAAATGACATGTAGGTACTTCACCACACCATTTGACATTTCCTCTGAAATTCCACAATCCTGATATATTCTTTCATCCTTTCAGGTAGAATATAGAATTTTTATGCCCAAACCAAGAGTTGCTGCCTGCCCAAGTATCTGGCTAATTAGAAGAAAAATTGAAGGTTTAATGAAAAATGATCCAATATGTGGATATAAGATTTACAGATGGCATGTCAATTCCTAACTATTAAATAGATTCTCATCCTGAATCTTTATTATCAGTGTTTGTGCAGAATTATAAGTCTTCCACTTTCAAATACCACCTTTGAGACTAGTTCTTGAAGAAAAGCACATTAAACGATTCTGATATGAAGGACACAAATACAAAATACTTTAGATTATTAGCAGCTACCACAAAACCATCAATAACCTGGATTTTTTTTATAAAGGTTAATGCTGCTCTTAACATTTAAATCTATCTGAATGTTTATAAAAAGGCACTTCTAATGTATAATGGAAAGCAAAATATTCCTTCCTGATTTAGCAATCTGATACCTAATTTTGTAGACTGCAAGTATGCCACTTAACAAATGCTAAAATGAAATATATCATAAATTAAGATTATCATAGTATAATTATACATTTAAATAAATACTTAATACTATAATTTAGGAATGGAGTTTGCATTATAGATATTTTATGGCATGATTTGTAACATGCTGTGCTCCTTCATTCCATCACTTTTTCAACAGTAAAAAAAAGTATATTTGAAGAAGAAAAAAATAAGAAGTCAGTAAAATAGAAATACACCTAAACTCTAAGAAATGCTGTGGGGAAAGAGAGTTTCATCTTTGATTACTGAACACTGAATTATATAGGACCCAACACATTTAAGAAAAGCCGATGGTGAAATGTCAGCTGAGAGATACATACAGTAGATTGAAAAACCTTTACATTTGAGAATCTGAGAAATAAAATCTGAGATTACCAGATAATTTCATTTTCTTTTCCTTCCCCCTCTTTCATCCAAAGCAAAGTAATTTTGCGACCCCTATTTTAACTCAGGTTTGCTTTTCATTTTCAGTCTCTAAATCACTAGGCATTCTTGGTGGTTTTTAGTAAGTTCATCAACATCAGTAACAGATTTGGCAGTAACAATTTAGAAAATAGGACAAATACGTATGGGTTTAAGCATGAGGGAGATAAATAAGCAAAATAATGAGAATGCATACCACGGTTCTATTCATCGCCATCGTCTAACCAAACACACAGAATGAAAATAGGACTCCCCAGAACGTGACACTAGAGCACAATGCCAAGATACAATCACTGTTAAGTCTGAGCATGACAAAGAAACAGATGGTCATGACCTCTTCTGCAGGAGGGAAAAAAAAAAAGAATAATGATACAAGACACGTAATAGCTGAAATCGTTCACGACTACTGAGATATTTTTGGAAGAAAAATAAAATGAAGAAGCTGCTACGGTAATGAAATTTAAAAAACAAAAACGAAACAAAACATGTCTATGTTTGCCAGCCACATTGCAGAATTGAACAGTCACCTGTCGTTTTCCGCTTAACACAGGAGAGATGAGTTGGTCTAGTATATTTGATAGCAGGTTTTAAAATGAATTTCCTGGAGGGAGAGTGGGCCTGAACTTCTGTTTTTTTAGCAAGTTCAGCCTTCTTATACACTGCTATGAATAAGAAAACACAAAAAAAGCACACCATCAGGAGAAAATAAACACTTTGAGCAAAACCGAACAAAAGTTCATTACATAGTTACCACTGTTAGAAGTTTCTTCTATAAAAAGAGTAATAACAAATTACTTCACAAACATTTTTAAAGAAGTGATTGTTAAATGAACCTTTTTTCCTTCTCACTTCATCTCTGGAGACTGTGCTAGGTTCCTTTTTAGCTACTTTTCTTTCAGGAGTGGAAATTCTGCCTCTCCCGGTTTTAAAAGGCTTTTCTTTTCTATGTTTCTCGAGAGATGGTCTCCGAGCTTCCTTTTCAGCTTTCTCCTCTTTAGGAATAGTTTCTAACTGTTCTGTCATGATGCTCCTATCATCATCTGCGAATCAAAGCAAATCATGACAACAAGAACAACAAGAAGAACATTAGTAACAAGTGTACAGAAGCCTTCATCCAGTGAACAAAATGCAAAATAAAGAGACAAAGGGGCGTTTTTAAATGTTTAAAATGAAAAAAAAAATCCATTAGGTTATGGGATTTTCTTTGGGAGCAGAAAATTAAAAAAAAAATAGCACACCTTGAGTGTCCACCCAGAGGCTGTCAGCATCCATGATGGAGTCATCAATGGTGGTCTCGTCTTTGTAATCATCATAGGTTTCCGTCTTGTATTCTGAAAGCCCAGCCACTTCTTTCTCAGGGGAAGCCGGAGCCTTGGGGGCGCCATCCTTGGGTTCTGCCTGGGCTTCCGCTGCCTCTTCTACTTCAAGCTCTTCCTCGGCATGAGGGGATGGTCTCCTCTCCACCTCTGGCTGCTCCAGGGCTGCAAAACGCACGCTGTGGGAACCGGACTCGCCTTCATCAGTTGTGGTCTGCACTACAGTGATGAAGTCATCCTCAATGGTCACAACAGACTCGATCACTCCTTTGTGTTCACCTGGGCAGGTCTCCACCAAGTCCTCCCTGACACTCGGGACACCCAGGTCAGTAATCTGAAGGGTGTCTGAGCGAAAAAGCAGTTTATCATATTCTCCCCGCGCTTCTATCTCTTCTTCCTCCTTTTGAGCTTCTGCTGGTTCAGCCCCGACAGCTTCAAGCAGCGGCTCTGTAACATCAGAGGGTGTGATGGAGATGCCTGGGGTCTCTTTGCTTTCTTCTCTGGGTGGCTGAATAGATTCCAACTGGACATCCGCTCTCTCATCCTCGGCTAACTCGGCCTCTGAAACGGCAGGTGCACAAGGGACGTCCACAGACAATTTGATGGCAATCTCGTCTTGAATTAGAGAAGATTCCGGGGAGGTTTCCTTCTTGCCCTCCTCGGGCTTCAAGGACTCCATGGTCAGGCTTTCGTGTTCACCACTGGACTCGTAGGACTCTTCTTTGTCCACAGCCTCCTGGTGAACCAAGTCAGGCTTGGCCACCTTCTCCTTGACTTCTGTCTCACTGACTTTGGAGCCTTCTCTCATGTGGCCTGACTCAACACCCATAAACATACCTGCCTCCTGAGGCGTTCCGGATAAGAGAGTGAGGTCGTGGGTAGCCTCGAATTTAGGCTCTGTTGACTTTGCAGCATCTATGTTTAGCCCTGAGGCCATCTGTCCAAACTCACTGATTTTAACATCTAAGTGACCCTGCTCAGCTTTCTTTGCAACAAAATCCAGTTCTGATGCAGCTTTTTTGGATTGTTCTGCTTCAGCTACCTCTGGCACGGAGCTGAGACCTTTCTCGGCCATGGCAGGGGATGCATCTTTTGATACTGTCAGTTCTTTGGCCAAAGCATGCTCGTAGGTTATTCCTAATCCAAATGTTTCAACTTTGTCACCAGCCTCTTCGGATTCCCGGGCATGTTCTTTTGAATCAGTATGTTCTTCACTCTTTTCTAGTACAGTGTCCAGCTTATCATTTGCTTTCCTCTCCTGATCAAACTCCCTACTCAGTCCTGATAGTGGGGATGATTCTTTCTCAGCACTGTACTCATCTCTGACTCTGCCGGCAGCTGCCAATTTTACTTCAACCAGTGAAAGGTCCGTGGCCAAATCTCTTCGTACTTTATCATCAGTGCCTTCGTAAAAGGAACCACTCTCTCCTGATAAATTCTCGCTGTCTTGAACAGGTGATGGGAGTGGGACCGTGTATTTATTGAACACACAGTAGCCCATGTCTTCAAGCTGACTGTCCGTTTTAACAATGACGTGATTTTCATCGGTGACAGGGGGCAAGCCAGTGCGATTCTCCTCAATGACATTCCCTGATGGGACTGATTTCCTCCTGCCAACCTCAGTGTCTGCACTCACAGAAGCTAGTCTTGATCTTGTGCCTGCCAGATCTAGCATTTCAGGCAGGTCAGGGGCCATGACAGTACCATTTTTGTAATAATCTTGGGCTAGGAATGGCGATTCACACACTGTCTCGACTTGAGTGTTTCCCTCTCTGGCAGCTTTTTCTTCCTCCATCTGTTCTTCTTCCTCTTTGCTTTCTATGGGGAAGCAAGGGGCCTTCTCCACTGCTGGGGTAGTGGCTGGAAGGTAATCATCCCCTTCGTCCATACTTCCACTGGTGTTGGTTAGAATATCAGAAGCCAGAGGAGAAAGATCGTGCCCCCGACTAAAGTTAAACCCAAGGGCTATGGAATCCAGGCAAGACATGGGCAAATTGATTGACATGCTTCTTTGTTCTATTGCAGACCTACCACCGAGTCCTAAACTCCTGCTTAGTGTCAAATCATCCTTATTCTTACTATGGAGATCCCTTTTCTCCCCATATACTTTTGGATCAATAGTAAACATTCTTTCTTGAGGAGAACTGGGCTCTTCAGGTAAATCAGGTGGATAACTCTTTGCAAGAGTGCTATACCCTGCTTCTTGTGCTGGAGCACCGGGCTGGGACTCTTTACCTGCCTGAAGTCCCTTGTCACCATGTTGATGCATGGGAGATACGGTATCAAAAGGCTCTTGGGCACTTTCTCTTGTGTCACTCAGTTCATAGTAATCACTTCCTGGCTGGAAGCTTTTGGTCACTTCTTCTTTCAAGGCAGATGTTTCAAAGTACTTGGACATTCCCGACTTATCTTCATAAAATGGCATGTCAAGCTCAGCTAATGTTGCAGCCCCAACTCCTTCAACTCTATTACCTTTGTCAGCAACCTTTTCTTCAAACAGATCCTCGATAGCATTCTTCTCACTTAGTACAGCTGGTTCCTTCTCCAGTGCTTTAGAGGCCATGGCTGAACTTGTAACTGCTTGCTCCAAACTCACAGGGAAAGACTCCTGTTTTAATGTATTTGTGGTCGGCTGTTGGCTTTTCTGTTCTTCTTTGGAGAAAGTATGCTCTGCGGAGGGCTGAATTACACCTGTTTCTTTGTCTGTCGGTTTGGGGGGTTCACTCTCTTTCAGCATGGTTTCTTTGTCAGGAATGGTTGTCTTTTCCTCAAACTTCAGCTGAGATTCCTTTTCAGTAAGTGAAGATTCCTGGCCACTAAGGGTGGGCGTCTCTTTTTTCTGCACACTTTCTTGCTTTATTGCTCCTTTTTCTTCTTCCAAAACTTTCTCTGGGACACATTCTTCTACGTCCAGAATGTGGGCATCTTTGGGTGAGGGAATTGCCTCTGAGGCTGGTACTTCTGCCATTTTGTAAGGTTTATCCTTATGGGGCTCTTCACCTTTAGAAGTGTCTTTGGCAGTTACTTGGCCACTGGTTTCTTCCAGAGATTTTTTGCCATCTGACTGTAATAGGGCAGGAGCAAAAGATGATGCTTCTTCAACGATTTCATTCTTCATAACATCTGAAGGGAGAGTGAAACTTCCACTGTGAAAAGGACTCGGCATGGGAGAATCAAATTGTTTCCCTTCCCATTTTGGGATATCCTCAAATACATCACTTTTCCTCATGGGTGTGAGAGGGCCAGGAGATATCGGAGCAACTAAACCCCACTCATCCTTTTTTGTTTCCATTGGCAATTCGATGAACCAGTCCTTTTGTTCTTTTGGAACTGGGGTTTCTGGAGGGAGGTCAATACCAGGTACCACTAGGCTTGGTTCTGCCTTCTGTTTTGAGTCTTCTAGGCCGGCACCAAGAGTGTGCCCAAACAGAGTGAGAGGCACTCTTCCTTCTTCTGGGCCTTGTCTGTCCTTTTTATCTGAGGACATTTCAGTTGTCTCGGGCTGAGAAACTAAGGCAGCATGTTTAAGATCTTCACCAGGCTTACTTTGATTCTCTAACTCCTTTTCTTTCTTGTCTAATGGCTCAGGTAAAGAGGCAGTCAATTCCTGTTGATCATGGAACTCCATCTTCGAGGCTGTAAGTAAACCTGAAGTAATTGGGTTGATTTTTAAAAAAATAGGCAAGTGCTTTCAGGCAGTAAGCTTAAAATTATATTTTGAAATGACAAATGAATGGCAGGGGAAAAAGAAAAACTATGGAACATGCACACATGCTACCCAAGTAAAAATCAATATGAAAATGTCAGGATTGAGATATATTTGTACTATTGCTAAAATGAGCTCTCATTGTGAATTAATGCATACAGAAATTGTAATAGAGTATATTTTGAATATTCTTTTTTCCTTTGTTCAGTCTCTTCTAACAGTATGTGATATGAAGTGTAGTAGAAAAAATTTATATTCCTTCTTCAGATAAAAATTGTGAATTAAGGAATACTTAATATGTAGTTAATATTAGGGTACAAAACTCATATATACATATATGCTTACATGTTTATATAGTGCTAAATATGGAAAAGGACTGATTTCTACTGAACTTATTATTTTCTCATTTAAAAGTAAATTGGTAGGCCATGGGCAGAGGTCAATTAATTTATAATAAAAGTTCATGGCTTCAATTATCTTAATCAACAAAATTTGGGGGTATTGAACAATTACTTAAATAACTTTTTAAAATTCATTAATATTAAATTTCAGGAATATTAATAAATATTTGATATTGACTTTATATGATATGGCCTAAGAATTGACAAGTCAATTTCTATCATGGATTCAAAATTCTTAATAAATAGTACTTAGTCTTTATGATAAATATAAGAAAATCTGAATTATAATGTTAGTACTGGGAAGTCATATGAGTAACAAAATTTTAAAGAGTGTCAACTATACAATATCTTTCACTCCTTGGTCAACTGGAAGCATCCACCAGTATTGCCTTTGAGATGCTCCACAGGAATTAAATGACTCTTTTTTTTAAACTTGTTCACCAATCAAGAAGGCTTCAGAGCCTCACTTGTGTTTTAAGGTTAAAGGTACTTCACTGTGGTCACTAGGGCCAAATGTATTTATCTGGAAAATATCTGGGGGGAAAATAATAAAATCCAGTCATCTCTCGAAGAGCAAGTGTATGGATCATCATTACCTTATATACTTGTGTGTCCTGTTGTAACAATAGAAAAAAAATAGTTTATGAACTTCTAATAAATATTAGATGAATGAAAACTCAAGAGATATGGGGATGACCAAAGGGGTTGGCTGCCATGGAAAGGAAATGATATGAGAAGCATCAGCAGGAGCTTTTAAGGGAACCAAACCAGTCCTCACGGAAGCATAAAAAAATAGAGCCTATTGCGGTTGCAAACAAAAATGATTCTATCATTTAAGCCTCTATGTGCGAAAAGTTCAACTCTGCGACTTGAAACAAAAGCATATGAATTGCTGTCTCCAAAATAAACAAATAAAAATATACATGTATTAGCAATGTGACTGGCAAACATTTGAGATGAGAGGGGGCGGAGGGACAAAAAGCTCACACAGCGTCATCAGCCTGGCTGCAAAGCGTATTGTATCATGGCAAAGTCAAACGAGGAATCAGCGGCAGCAGTGGACAACCAAGCTGCCCCAGGGCACCTGCGCAGGCCGCACCCCCCGCTCGGCAAGCCTAGGTCATGGGTTTGGGGATCGTGAGAAGACTCGGCAATGGAATAGCATTGGAAAGGCATCAGGTTGGTAAGCTGCTGGAGAGATCATTTGCAACAAGACACATGCAAATCCTAAGACAGACACACCTTCCCTGGCAGAGGAAGGGGTTTTTACTTCTGGAGACACCTCCGTGACCTCTTTTATACTTTTCTCCTGCGGGGCCCCTGCTGGGGCACTCTCTTCCGGAACTACATGGGTCTCCAGACTAGAGTCCACTTGGCCCTCACTGAGGCCCTTGGGTTGGTCTGAGACCTTGGCAGCCCCACCCTCTTTCCCAGGAAGAGTGGCGAGCGTTTCTTCTTCTTAGGGATGAAAAAGATGTTGACATCATGACCACAGAACAATGCACACAACACAGAAACATTATTCAAGGCACACTTTCAGCTCAGGAGGATTTCTTTTACCCTTTGGATGAGCAATTTACTATTCAAATGCAATGGATACTAATTAGTGCTTGGAAAACTTAGGTATAATCTGCTAATAAGGATGCCTTTTAAAGTCTCGTTAAAAGGCTATTTATCTTAAAATTTGAGAGCTGAAATGGTTTTATTGCTCTATTACCACTTAGTGGAAATGACAGTGAGTTGCACACATGTGAGAAGCTTGCTGGAAGGAAGAGATGGTGCTACCAGATAACAGATGGTTGTGAAAAGATAGATGCACTGATGTACTGAAAAATAAAAATAAAAAAACACTTTACACTCGTTAGACATGTGCTGTTTTCTCCAATGCAAGAAGTCCCTACATATGAATTTCTGATTACTTTATTTAAAACATGCAAACTTTGCTAAAGAACTCTGGGAATAAAAAAAGCTTTGGTCTCAAAATAAGATCCAATCAATTACCTTTACAGCTTTATCATGAAGTCCACCAAAACTATTTAAAATATAATGTATTTAATAGTTTTTCAATGGTGAAAGACTGCCTAATTCAAATTATTTTACCTTCACTACATCATATGATATTAGAGAATATAAAAACTTTAAAACAGTAAGTAAAATATTTTGAAAAACAAGGCTCAGGGACAAGTTCAACCTATTAAGAAAAGTCTGCCTCTGGGACACAACTGGTTTCATAACACTAAACCTGAAAAGTTCCGTAATGTGGTTCATGCATAGTTCCCCTTGACACTGAATAGGAAAGACAATGTGCTTGTCATCTATAAAGTTATTTCTGCAATTCAAAGCCACCAAGGAAAGATAACTGAGTGGAAACCCAACTGCCAAAATATCTCCCCAAAAGGTGTGTATCACATGCAAAATGTTAACAATTAAAATATAAAAACAAACTTATGAAGGGAATGAGTTATTGTGCTTCAAATGGCAGTAAAATAAATCTGATTTTACCACTTAAGAAATTAGAGGAAATATATACAAGCTGTTTTATAGTTTGCTAATAAAAAATTCTTATTAAAAGTTCCTCTGAAACAATTATACATTGTTTAAATGGACCTGTGAGAAAGACATAGATAGAAAAGGAGTTTTCTTTTTTGAGAAATATTAAAACGCTTGGAGTTGGGGGCAGGAGAGAAGAACTACTTCATCTATTCCTCACATTTAGCACACAGACACTTCCATTTTCATAATTTAGCTATGGGAGTAACATTTAAAAATTCAGACTCTAATTTACTAAGGCAATTTTATAATGCGTTAGAATTAGAGATTTTAATTACAGCTAAAAGACTTTTAATATAGCTGCTAATGTCACCTTACCAAATACAGCCTAATCAAGTTAATTTACGTTTTCCAAATCCGTGTTAGTTTTTAGCCTTCCATTTTATGATTTTGTATAAATCATGTTTGTTTTCCGCTCAAAAATTCACATATTTTTCTTAATTGTCTTAATTTACACTATTAGAAGAACTTAATTTCACTGAGTAGAGGTTGTAGTTCTCCATCAGAATGTCTGAGTCATTGGTGCTTTTTGTTTCTTTCTCTTGGAAGAAGTTTATTATCAGGAACATAGTCGGTGAGCTTATCCCCACTGCCTTGGAACTATTAAACCTCCCATTAAGTACTGTCCCATCTATACTAATAAAAGAGAAAAATGGTAATTGGCGTACGACGCTACCCTTTTCATTGGCTAATCAGGGCGATATGCAAATTAACTGCCAACTCAGATGGCAGTTAACTGACAACAAAGATGGAGGTTAATTTGCATATGTAGGCACAATGCAGGGAGGCAAAAGGGAAAGC